AGGCAGGTGGATCACCTGAGGTTAAGAGTTTGAGACCAGCCTGGCACAAGTATACATATGTAACAAACCTGCACGTTGTGCACATGTACCCTAGAACTTAAAGTATAATAAAAAAAAAAAAAGAATTACTGGCTGGGTACAGTGGCTCACGCCTGTAATCCCAGTACTTTGGGAGGTCAAGGCAGGTGGATCACCTGAGGTTAAGAGTTTGAGATCAGCCTGGCCAACATGGTGAAACCTCATCTCTACTAAAAATACAAAAATTAGCCCAGCGTGGTGGCAGGCACTTGTAATCCCAGCTACTTGGGAGGCTGAGGCAGGAGAATTGCTTGAACCCAGGAGCCAGAGGATTTTTCTATTTACGAAAAAAAAGTCATTAGGATTTTGGCAGAGATTGCATTGAATCTGTAGATCACATTGTGTAGTACTGACATTTTAACAATATTGCCTTCCAATCCATGAATAGAGGATGTATTTCCATTTGTTTATGTTTTTAATTTATTTCAGCAATGTTTTGCACTTCTCATTGTCTAAGACTTTCACTTCCTCGGTTAATCCCTGAGTATTTTATTATTTTTTATGCTATCGCCAATAGAATAGTTTTGTAATTTCCTTTTTAGGTTGTTCATTGTTAGGGTATAGAAATGCAACTGAACCGGGCATGGTGGCTCACGCCTGTAATCCCAGCACTTTGGGAGGTTGAGGCGGGCGGATCACGAGGTCAAGAGATCAAGACCATCCTGGCCAACATGGTGAAACCCCATCTCTACTAAAAATACAAAAATTAGCTGGGTGTGGTGGCACACCTGTAGTCCCAGTTACTTGGGAGGCTGAGGCAGGAGAATCCCTTGAGCCCAGGAGGCTGAGGTTGCAGTGAGCCGAGATCATGCCACTGTACTCTAGCCTGGCGACAGAGTGAGACTCTGTCTCAAAAAAATAATAATAATAGAAATGAAACTGAATTTTGTGTGTTAACTTTGCAGACTGCTACTTTGCTGAATTCAATTATTAGTTGTGACAGTTTTTTGTGGAATCTTTAGGATTTTCAACATATAAAATTATATCATCTGCAAACAGAGATAATGTTACTTCTTCCATTCCAATTTGGATACATTTTATTTCTTAACTTTCCCTGATTGCTCTGGCTAGAAATTCTAGTACTAAGTTAAGTAAAAGTGGCGAAAGGAGACAACCTCACCTTGTTCCTGATCTTAGAGGAAAAGCTTTCAATCTTTCATCAAGTATGATGTTAGTTGTGGGCTTTTCATATATGGCTTTTATTATGCTAGTAGTTTCCTTCTATTCCTACTTTGTTGAGTGTTTTTAATATGAACAACTCCATAGAAATGTACTTTTTTACCTTAAGAAAAATGAACCAATAACCCAGAACTTTTAATTCAGTAGCAAAATGAATAAAAACAGGCTGGGCACAGCGGCTCATGCCTATAATCCCAGCACACTGGGAGGCTGAGTGGGAGATTGCCTGTGCCCAGGAGTTCAGGACCAGCCTGGGCAACATGGTGAGTGACGCCCACTCTCTACCAAACATTTAAAAATTAGTCAGGCATGGTGGCACGTGCCTGTAGTCCCAGCTACTTGAGAGGCTGAGGTGGGAGGATATCTTGAGCCCAGGAGGCTGAGGCTGCTGTGAGCTGTGAC